TTTGAATGTACACTATACATTAAATGTAACAGTGAGATAAGTTGTATAGATGTTATTTTAGTGAAGAAATTTCAAATGCGATGGATGGAGTTGGTGACTAATTATTTTTCTATGGTATATCATAATGATTTTAAATCGATCACATTTCTTGAATGTACGGTGTGCGTATGTCTACTTATCTCATTCTGTTTTATGGAACTCGTAGGTATACATTTTTCGAAGTGGTTTAATTAAAACAGAATAATCATAACCATAATCAAGGTGTTATTATAAACCGAGTTATTAACTATTTATGTGCTGTGGTATAATACAAGATATCAAGTCTTAATTTTTTTTTACATTTTCATGAAGTTCCTTTTTTTTATTAGGCCAGTTATTGAAGTCTACTCGATCAACATTTTACTGCAAACAATCGAAAAAAAATTTTTTTTAAAAGGTTTTAAATTCAATTGCTCAATTATTCAACTTACATTTTTTGTTTGTACCTACGTGGTAGACATAAATTTTGAATGTGATCAAAGTAGTTGGTGAATTATTACTTTTGCGGCACATCGTATAATGACTTTAAATCGATCTTATTTTTTGAATATACGGTGTGCATATGTCCAGTGCATCTTATTCTGTTTTATGGAACTCGTAAGAATCCAAAGTTTAAAGAGTGCTAAGTCTTCATGTCGTTCTTCGTTATTTTCAATCATTTATGTTTATCATGTTCAGGTTTTTGTCTTGTGATCTTCAAATATCTTGTAAATAAGTTGTAAAGATCTTCTGAAATCACCTATGACTGCAAAATTTCAAAATTAAATTATCAAAAAAACAATTCTTAAAGCGCCACATAAAGTTGTCCGTGACTAAATACATCCTTTCTGGAGACCAATTACTATCCTATCAAATGTTTGTCCTTGAGATTTGTTAATCGTCATTCATTGCAAAGGCTAATTTTATTTTAAAATTGTCTTCGTTTGAACGTAAAGGGGTAGACGTTTTCGCAGTAGAGTGTTATTCGATTTATGAACACTATTTCTCCCTGTTTATCTACAGTCAATACATATCTCACAGCGTAACAGATTATCCCCAAATTCCAGAAATAAAGGCCTTGTCCCATTGCAAAGACCTGCACTGATGCTTAGATTTCTAATAAGCATACAATAGAATTCGTTTTCAATTGTAATTCATGGAGCGGGAATTCGGCGGATTAAGCGAATTTAAATATTTTGGAAGAATAGCATCATTTAGATCACCATTATCACAGTTCTCGACACTATCTATACTGGTGTAGAGTTTTTCGGTCTTGACGTCCAACAGTTCGACAACTTATTTGTTTATTTCTTCGACATCAACATTTCTTGCAGAACGTATTGCAGATTTGGTCAAGTCCCTGAATCTTTCTTCTTTTAGTATTGTTCGTCGATTTTTATCTGACACTTTTCGTATGAGGAGCGAGGGGGTGAAGTATATGGCAAAAACCAGGGGTGACGTTAGGTGACCATTGGCGTTCAAATGTAGGGTGCCACCAGCTCACATTCCTTTCGAGTATTAGATTAAAATCGACGGACTTTACTTCTCCATAGATGTTTTCAACAATATCCGAATTATCAATACTTTTCTCCGACAATTTTAGATTGTCGTTAGAATCATTTAGTGTTCGTTATCGCATAAAAATGGCTCAATTTCAGCAATACGTGCTTAATGTTGGCCTTTAAGGCGGCAACCGTTCGAGGTTTGTCAACATAGACTTGGATTTTAGAATGCCCAGAGAAAAAAATCCATTGACGTTAGGTCGGCCAATTGTGGATTCTGAAGGACGATCGTTGACATCATAAATTGCACGGAGTGCACGAAACGTTTTCCGAATAGAACATTGGTTTTGATAATGATAATAATTTTTAACAATTCCGACGCGTTGCTCAATCGAGTAGCGCTCCATAATAAAATGCAGAGACTAATTGAATACGGCTGCCAAAGATAGCACCTGTGTGACTATCGAGTTTTTCATGGGTTATTGTCAAACATCGAGCGTTACTATTGGAAAACCCTATACATACCTAGATTCTTCTATTCGACCTCGAAAAAATATTAAACCACTTCCTTGCTTTGAATCTTTGAAAAACAACCATCTACAGAGCAATATCTAATAGCACAGCTAATAGGCATATTGTTAGAGAATTGTCACATAAATAAAAAATTCACAGTCCTTCACAAAGATGCAACCGAGGAGAACATTGAAAATGCCGAAGCAAACTTCAAGACTGAGATCCGCTAAAATTCAACCCTTTCCAGATTTTCCAGAATTTTTCCGTCCCAATCCAGAAATTTCCATGCGTTTTCCAGACGTTTCCAGAAATTTCCAGACTTTATCCAGATTTTTCCAGACTTAGCTAGACTTTATTCAGACTTGTCTAAATTTCTCCAGACCTTATCAACCCTTTTCCAGACGTTTCCAGAAATTTACAGACTTTCCCAGACTTTATCCAGACTTTTCTAGACTTAGCTGGATTTTTCCAGACTTTATCCAGACTTGTCTAGATTTCTCCAGACCTAATAGAGCCTTTTCCAGACGTTTCCAGAAATTTTCTGGCTTTTCCAGACTGTATCCAAACTTATCCAGACTTTTCCAGATTTAGCTAGACTTTATCCAGACTTGTCTAGATTTCTCCAGACCTTATCCAGCCCTTTCCTGACCTCTCCGGACTTCTTCCAAACACTTTCCCGACTTCAAATACACTTTTCCAGACTTTATCCAGACTTGTCTGAATTTCTCCAGACCTTATCAAGCCATTTCCAGACGTTACCAGAAATTTCCAGGCTTTTCCAGACTTTATCCAGACTTTTCTAGACTTGGCTAGATTTTTCCAGACTTGTCTAGATTTCTCCAGACCTAATAGAGCCTTTTCCAGACGTTTCCAGAAATTTTCTGGCTCTTTTCCAGACTTTATCCAAACTTATCCAGACTTTTCCAGACTTAGCTAGACTTTATCCAGACTTGTCTAGATTTCTCCAGACCTTATCCAGCCCTTTGACCTCTCCGGACTTCTTCCAAACACTTTCCCGACTTCAAATACACTTTTCCAGACCTTATCCAGACTTGTCTGAATTTCTCCAGACCTTATCCAGCCTTTTCCCGACGTTTCCAGAAATTTCCAGGCTTTTCCAGACTTTATCCAGACTTTTCCAGACTTGGGTAGATTTTTCCAGACTTTATCCAGGCTTGTCTAGATTTCTCCAGACCTAATAGAGCCTTTTCCAGACGTTTGCAGAAATTTTCTGGCTTTTCCAGACTTTATCCAAACTTATCCAAACTTTTCCAGACTTAGCTAGACTTTATCCAGCCTTATCCAGACTTTATCCAGACTTGTCTAGATTTCTCTAGACCTTATCCAGCCCTTTCCTGACCTGTCCGGACTTCTTCCAAACACTTACCCGACTTCAATTATGTATAAGTAATTGCCTATCTATGAGTCAGCACTTAATGTATGCAAAAACGGTAACATCCTTGAACCAACATAAACATATCGATTTTATATTCGGATTGCCTCATTTGCATAATTAAAGCGGTGACAGCCTTGAACTAACATCTCGATTTTATATTCAGATATGGTATTTTGACTATTTTTGATTTGGTCAATAATATAGGAGTGGTCCATTTAAAAAGTATAATTTTGCTTCGCCACACTTTTGTGACACACCCTATATACTTATAACTAACTTCATTGCAAAGTTTCTGATATTATCTACAAATTTTACGTTTGAGATTTCTGGGTATCATATAGCCAATAACCCTGTACTTCAAAAGTGTACTTGAAGCTCTACTTGAAGTACTTTATATTTTTCAATATTTTATATTTTAAGTAAGTAAGTTGGGTTGTTGGTTAATTTTTGACAAAGGCTCTACTTACTTTTATTAAGTATTTGGTAATTGGAATACATTCGAGAAAAATATGTACTTTGTACTTCAATTACTTCACTTCTACAAAACCTTGAGTACTTTCCACTTATATTCCAAGTTCTTTAGTAATGTACTTGTCACAGCTCTGTCTACTAATGAAAAATAAATGGATAGGTAAGTAACAATTATTAAAAACTCCATTCAATACGTTGCTGGGACCTTCTCTGGACATCATGACAAACACAACGAATAGTGTTATAGAAAACAAAAACATTGTGACTTCTTTCTTCTAATATTTCAATGTCTTCTGGGGATTCAAATTCATAAATATCGTTTTTCGATGTATTCATAACTAATAGTCCAGAGGCGTCAATGTCTGGGGACCTAGCTGAGTTAACCAGAAAACTGGACGGCCATTATAAATAATTCGGTCTTCAAAATATTGTCTAAGAATTCGATAAACCTATCTAGTTTAATTCACATAACAACCATGTTATTGATTGCTGAAGCCATATTCCTCTAAATTAGTTTTCCGGAGATAGAGTTGTTAAGGCTTAAGACGTATAATAATTTCAATGATCAGCTTATCAGCATACTCAGCGCACCATTTGAGTTTTCATGGAAGATGAAGGAATCAAGAAGACTTCCGTCTATTTGTGATAATAAGATTCAGTTTCCATTTAAAAAAAGATGAATGAAGATGATGAACTTTCCTAATTTAATTGACTCTCGTCGAGATCCTAATATGGTGGGATACTCTGTATACAAGGGAGACAGAAAGATTTTATATGACCCAGTATTGGTTACTTGTCTTGTTAAACATTGAAATCGGCTGTATCTGAACTTAAACCCAGAATTTATTTGTAAACTACATATACAGAGTGATTTGCGTAGCCCGTGCATTAGATTGCAGGATTAGATGCTATCTCTACTAATCCACCTGCAATCTGGAAAACTTCTAATGCACGAGCTACGTAAATCACGGTATATTTCTGTTCAAATAACATAATACATATAACATTAGAACTTCCCTACGGAGAATAAAAATTTTCACAGAATTAGGAATATTGCTATGAACTTCAAAATACTTACAGCTACCTATGTTCTTTTTCAGGAAATGACTACGGTGTCTGTTGTCCGGCCTCATTGAAAATCCAAAAAACCGGTCAGTGCCCGATAAAAGTCGAAGATAAAAATTTGGAATGCGGCAATTTGTGCACGCACGATTTGGAGTGTCCTTCTGTCCAGAAATGCTGTCAAACTGAACAGTGCGGATCGTCTTGTATGCATCCAAAGAATGTCACAGGTAAGAAAAACGTTCAACTATAATCTTAAATAATTGTTTATTATAGTCCAAGATTAACGTTATTTTTTAATTGACTAATTTACCGAAAATTATGCTATCAAATACCTACCTACTAATAATCAGACAATTACAAAATAATACACCTTGCCTTGTTCATTGTATGTTCTCATAAAAAAAAAACTAAAGAAGATACTGTTGGCATTTACAAACACTCACGACTTTGTTGTAATACAAAATACTAATAAAGAAGTCATTCGATTTTCTATTTAGATAATACTTTATTTGGTGCTGCTGAACGTATTAAACTACTATTGTTTGTATACAAGGTTTCGAATAGTAAGGTCAGGATTTTCTCTTGTAATAACGACGGTTGCGACTAATGATAGTATTTTGAGAAAATCTTTCAAAATGCCCACAGAAGAAATTTGCTAATTTGCTTCAATAGAATAGATAGTAAATGAAAAAATAGGCGCATCATTCAATAAATCATGAGAATTTATATGTGATATAAAATAAAGTAGGTGTGTTTCAGAGAAAGTCGATGTTTCAATAATCAATTTGTTGAATTTGTCATTGAGTTTAGAATAAGCATTATGTTTTTCCAGAATGTTACCATCAACGTGCCTTGTCCGAAATCCTAGCAGTAAGCGAAAGAGCTGGCAGAGGCTACGTTCCGCAATGCACCAATGATGGCCAATTCGAACCGAAACAATGCAGCAGAAACGGCCTAGTGTGCTGGTGCGTCGACAGAATGGGACGCAAATTGAAAGGATCCATGGGACCTGGCGATATTGTGAATTGTTCAATAATCGCAGCGCGTTCCCAATCGGTAGCCAGAAGTCTGGATAAAAACGGTAACGAATGCGAACGTCTCGAGTGTGCTGCTGTATGTGAATACGGCTTCAAATTAGGAGACGACGGATGTCACACTTGTAAATGCGACGATCCTTGCGATGGGTACACTTGTCCTGAAGATGAAGAATGTGTTAATGTGAAAGAAGCCAATTGTGCAGACTTTTTGTGTCCATCTTTGCCAGTTTGTCGACCGAAAGCTGTCTATGCTAATCCGTGCGAACAAGGAACTCCGTTGACTGATGACTTGAGTGGAGCTCCAGTAGCTTGCGCGCTCAGATCGGAAGATGGAACAGTTTGTCCCAATTCCTACGATTGTACAGCCGTACCTGGATCTACGCAGGCTGTATGCTGTCCTCTAGAAGGAATCGACGAAGTTGAACTTGAGGGGGAGGCTTCTGAAGATTATAATCAGGCGGAAGAACGACCACAAACTAGTAAGAAATGAAGGCATACATTGATTGTTTACTGAATTTTTTTTTTTAAGTGTGTGAATATCTTAAAGAATTTACCGAAAGCATGGAAGGTACCAGGGAAGGCATGACATTAGCCCTGCCTACACCGGAATGCGACTCTGATGGTAATTATGTCGCCACTCAGTGTGATTCTGATACAAATGAGTGTTGGTGTGTGGATAATTTTGGAACGGAAATACCAAAATCAAGGTAACTTTGCTTTTTTACCTCATTAAATCCCTTTAAAACCCTGAACTCTTGCTGCGTTATTGTTAATTTCATCATTATGTTCAATGTAAATGAAATATATGCTCTCGAAAATATGTTAATAGGTATATTAATTTTATCGGTACTGGCAAAAGTATGACACACATTTATTAGGTATGAATTTACGGTTATCAGACAAATTCAGTCATCAACCTTCTCTTGCACTTTTCAAATATTTTTCTGGATCGACCGATTCTATGCAGTTATTGATAACATCCTCTGGCGTTACAGAATTCTTTCTTTTAAAATACAACCATCTTGTTTTCTTACTTATACATTCTTTGCTTATACTTAATTTCCAGTTATACTAATAAGATTAACTGGCTATCGCTACCTAAAACTTTCAGACATAACAAAAATCATCTCACAATCTCAAATTATTGCTCATGGCGTAATAGAAACACTCTATTCCAATTGTGATTTACTTATTGTAATGTGTTTTACACAATTAATAGGTATATTACAGACACAATTGAACTTGTACACTCGTTATTAATCGGTTACTTCTGCTTCTGTTGGTCAGAAAATTACTACCATCAATATCATTTTAGAACCGAAGACAATTCTACCAACTGCGAAGAACTCAAGAAATCCATGGACTGCCTCGACCTGACTTGCCGCATGGGCTGCGAATACGGATTTATTTTATCTGAAGAAACCGGTTGTCCGACGTGTCAATGTAGAGATCCGTGCAGTGACGTTTCTTGTAAAGATGACGAACAATGTCAGCTGGTTGAAGTTAGCTGTAAAGATCATTATTGTCCTCCTGTACCTGCTTGTAAGTAAAGGATCTTTTTATTTCATACTGTATCGTAAAACACACCTTTACGTAGGTACTTAGTTTTAGTCCGAAAAATTAACTTTTACAGTATTCATTTCAGAATTTGAGACGGCTCTTTCGTCGCCTCGACCGTAAACATTTCAGTGACACTGTAAATAATTATTTTTGTCACAAGTACCTAAAAATTAAGTTTTTCAGGACGAATTATTGCTGCCGAGTGCGGAATAGCAGATGAGTCCTGAAAAACTACGTTAGGTACGTGTGACAAATACTATTTTTTGTCATACGCTTTTTAGAATTCTTCAGAACGCTAAAATTTGCAAAATTTCCTTAATTTTTGAAATCATAAAGGTGCATCCAGGAAGAAAAAAAAAATCCTATAAAGAAGCATTTTACGGACTTTAATGAGTCCGTAAAATAGCTGTTTTTGGGAGCATATGACAAAAAGTTTATTTTCCAGACGTGGATATCTATTACGTTAGAATTTGAAACTTACAACTTACTAATGTCATACTTGTCCTCTCACTTACATAATGTGATGCTATTTTAGGTTTACCAAAGAAAGTGGGACAATGTCCCTACTTAGTACCGGCCACGTCACCGGTTTGCGATTTTGAATGCAACTCCGATTTGGCTTGTAACGGAACAATGAGATGTTGTTCCAACGGATGTGGAACCCAGTGTGTCGAACCCTTATTATTTACTGGTAAGAATCTGCTCTATGTTTTCAATAAAGTAAAATCAAAAAAACTAATCTAGCTCTTTGATACAATACAAATCATAACATAACTTCTATACCATAATGTTTTTTTTTTTTTTCAGCATGCCAACACCAGAAAACTCTAGCCCAACATCAAGCCCACGAGTCCGGTATGCCAGCTGGAAAAGTTTACATTCCAACTTGCACGGAAGACGGAAGCTTCACAATGAAACAGTGTCATCCAGGAACTAAGGAGTGCTGGTAATTATATTCTGCATTCCTGAAATTTGAAATATTTATAGAAATTAAACAGGTGTGTAGATCAAAAAGGGTTCGAACTATCCGAAACCCGCACCAAAGGCGACAATCTAACCTGCGATCCAGCGCCAGTATCCCTAAAATGTCCCGAACTGGATTGCCAAGAAGACTGCGAACACGGCTTCGAAATTGATGAGGAAGGCTGCAGAACTTGCGACTGTGTAAACCCGTGCTCGAAAATTTCGTGCCGAGGCGAAGGTGAAACTTGTAGACTGGTCGCTGTGGAATGCGTCACGTGGCCTTGTCCTTCGGTGCCCATGTGCCTGCCCAAAAAAGAGAATCCTTGCCAGAACGGCGAACCTCTTAAACTCGGAACCAGCGACGAATTGTTCACTTGCGGACCGGAATCGGAAAGTTGTCCGTCGTCGCACAAATGCCAACTGAGTCCGGTGGGAGAGTACGCTGTTTGTTGTCCGAAACCGCGAGATGTTTGTTTCGAACCTCAAGATCCTGGCAGATGCCAGGAAAACGAACTTTCAAGGAACTTGACCAGATATTATTTCAACTCGAGGACTAACAAATGTGAAACTTTTATCTATGCAGGCTGTCAAGGGAACCACAATAATTTCCATGGCGAAGCCATGTGTAATATAGTTTGCCCAGGTAAAAGTTATGTTTTATTGTTAGATAACATTATTTACTTGAATTTATTTTAGTTTTGAGTCAATGCGAACGGTTGAGGGAAAAGAACCAACGCGCATCAGAACGTTACAAGAAACCGACGTTCGCTCCAAGATGCGACGCACAATCTGGAAACTGGCAACCGGTCCAATGTCTGGAACATGTCGGGGTATGCTGGTGCGTCACGCCGAACGGGGAACCGTTGAAAGGAACCCTCACTAGAGGCGCCGAACCCGAGTGTAACTATAGACAAGCCAGGAATCGGGCTAGTAATCGGATGGATGTTGCTAGCGAAGCAGATTTGGGTTAGTACCTACCTATAAATGTATTCATTATAATAGGTCTCAGAAGAAATTTCATTATTTCAAGTTTTTTTATTCAACTAATTTCACATTGTTTAGAGTGATCATAAGCATTGCTGAAATGTGAAGAAATTACCAATATTGACACATATTATAGTTTGCTATCAGTAGAGTCTTTTTTATATGGTTCGTTAGGAAAGGATATATCTATGAACTATGGTCTGTCTCCACGAAGACTTGAATATTTGGAAAACCAAGTAAGACCTGGGCCGGTATTCTGGTTCTCAAAAACGCACACCGCTTTCTAGTCGCTCGGCACTTTAAATGTAAATTTACATTGAAAGTGCCGAGCGACTGAAACGCGGTGAGCATTTTTGATAAACCTTGTAGTAACACTCAAACTTGGAAGAAAATATGGCTAATTTGTAATTAAACATTCTGGCCTCTCGTTTCTGGAAAAAATGATCAACCTGTTACATTCTGGCCACTCGGCATTCGGCTTCTGGGACCTCGGCTTCTCATTGCGTGACTGAACATAAGGGCTCTAAGGTTAACGTTTCTTCAGCCAAGGATTGTCCTGGTATGTGGTTATCGTGCCTACTGGATTACTTTCTTTGCAAATACAACCATATTAGAGGCATTTCAGTCACTCCCAGTATTAGCAGTACTATGGAGCTACTAATAAATAGATGATGATGTACTTGAGTCCATTTGACGTCTTGTAATTGTTGATCGATGTCTTGTTCTTCACTCTGAAGATGAGACAGTTGCTCGGAGGCATCAATAACTTGATCTTCGTAGGGAAACATGGTGATTTCCTTGGTAGGTTGAAATGTTTCCAAACTTAGTTCTCCTCGGCGAACGAAAGCTCCTAAAAGAGTTACTGATTTCGATCTTCTCGGTATTAAAATATATTCCTTTGTCTTAATGACGCAGTTTGATGAAATTTCGATAATTGCGGTCTGGTTTATTGTGGCCTCTCCTCTGATACCATCGCAGATAATCGCGATTTTTGATTTATTGGTAATTATTGCCATCCATGCGTTTGAAGTAATTCCTACATGCCCTGGATCTTTTGCTTATTTGTACTTATATACAATTTTGCGATGTTGCCAGCTCCTTCCAGCTGTATCTGATCAGAAAATTACAATTAACTAATTTGAGTGCAAAATCCTTTGGTGCATCGATCCGACTTTTTGCATGATGGCGGAATAAAATGCCACTGTGTTCCAGCCAAAGGTTCCAGCAGATATCAGTGTGTCCTGTATATTGGGATTTTTGGATGGTTTTTTGTATCTCGCTCTTGGGTACCTTGCTCGTACCAAAAAAATTTGTTCCAATATCGCTATAGAGATCTGAGCAGGTTCCTCTTCTAGCTAGAAATCGTTTGAAAGCAGCTAAAAACATATCGGAAGACATGTTCCTGACCACTGACCACTTATGACTTAAAACCTCTGCCCCTTGAAGTTTTTATTTGTATTAGTACTGCATAGTCACACCGAAGTTGAAGAAAGGCTGAGACGGGGTGACTCTTGGGGCTGGAAGGTCTCCCATTTGTCGCTCAGCTGATAGGTCCTAAATCGGATACATCTAATACAATGCTTGATTGTATTTTTTGCTGCATTTTTCCCATTTCTGATCCAAAATCGTTTTTTGGTGTAAGTTAGGATGAGCTGATTCCCACCATGTAGAGTGGTCAGATGGGCATCTGTGACTACGCATCTTGCCAGGTAACTTCGATACGCCAAAATCAATGGATGTTTGTTACTGTATGGTAGGTGAGGTCGACCTCCTACTCTCAAAACTCCATCATCCAGAAACGCGTTGAGACTCAGAATTTTCCTCTTTGTTTCTAGTTGATTCTTTTTCTGGAGCGTTTTGCTTTCTTTTTAGAAATAGCATTGCCATTCCATTTTGACAATATTTAACAGGGTGATTGCTATTTCTTCGACAGGTGGTAATTTCGATGGATGCTTTTTTCTGCACTTGTTCCGAAATCTTTTACAACAGCATATCACCTGGATCATTCTTTTTAGTAAGATAATCTCTAAATGATTTCATTGCTGCGCTGCCCTTTGTTTGTGTGTTAATGATGGCTGTGTAGCTATTTTTTCTTCTTCAGTCGTTGCAGGAATTCTGAAGGGATTTCTTATTACGCTATGTAACAGTAACAATGATGGTCCATGCCACCAGAGAGCGTATTTTTTTAGTTTTGATGACTCTAGTCCTCTGGAATTGTCTTCTGATGCCAGAACTCACTAGATACAAGTTTGTTTATTTCAGAGACTATACATTTTTCCATCTTGATGGCTCTCCTTTTTCTATGATAGTGTTATCATGGAGTCTGAGTAGGCATAGACTGGAACTTTCTCTAGCGATAGAGCTAATATAGTTCTTTTAATTAGTTTTGACAACAGAACTGTAGCGCAAAGTTCAAGTGGCGGTAGAGTTTCCTCCATGGATTTAGCAGTTAAATGAGTGACTTATTGGATTTTATCTCTTGGATTTGTAAGTTTCATATAGATGACTGCACTGTATGATTTCTCTGATAAAACGCAAAATCCATGTATATCAATGTTGCTTTGTTTGGATTGATATGTCCATCTAGAAATTGTTAATTTAGTTCTGCCTGAAACTTCTTTCATTTGGTTTGTATGTGTTCAGGTACAGCAGGATCGTCCTTTTAAATTCTTGTAACCTTAATTCTTGGATGAGAAGTTTTCCTCTCACTGGGGCTACCTAGCCAAGTGGGTCACACAATTTAGCAACCTCGGAAAGGATATTTCGTTTCGTAATCTGAGTATTTTTTCAGTTTTAAAACAGAAGCTATCGTGCCCAAGTGATTTTCTTTGTTTCATCTTTTGTGATTTCTACGGAAGTTATATCTTTTAGCTCCTCTGGCAGAGCTTATAGGAGTTGAGTTCTGTTACTGGACCATTCTCGTAAAGTGAACCCGCCAGAGCGAAACATTTTGATTAGTTCAGCTTGGAGTTCCGATGCTTCTTCAACAGTATCTGCACCAGAAAAAAGGTCATCAACATAGAAATGGTGTCGGTAGGGCTGCCTTAGCTGCCTTTGGAAAATGTGTGGCCTCATCACTGGCTAGTTGCTACAGTGTTTTGATCGCCAAATATGGTGCTGTGGTTGTACCATATGTTATTGTTGTGAGACAGTATTCTTTCATTGGATATTTTTTGTCGAACCGCCATAGAATTCTTTGAAATGTCTGAATTGGATGGATTTTGATTTGTCTATACGTTCTTAATGTCAGCTGTGATAACTATTCTGTATGATCTCCAACGTGAAAGAATATCCGAAAGCTCTTGCTATAATTTGGGACCAGTGTACATTGTTTCGTTCAGGCTGAACCCAGAAGGAGTCTTGCTGGATGTATCAAAGAATACTCGTAGCTTGGTTGTTGTTCTATTGTTGTATTCTTTTTAAACTTGGTTATGAGGAATGGAGATTTCTTCTCTTCTGTTTCCCAAAATTTAGTTAGCTGTAGTAGATCTTCCTGAATGCCGGTTGTCACTGCTAAAACCTGTGGCCGGATTCTATTTTACGAATCGCTATTTTGACTATTCGATAAGAATTTCGACTCGACTCGTAAAATAGAATCTGGTAGCTGGAGTTTTTTATCTTTGTTAATTCCAGTATTTCCACAAAATATCCATGCGAATTCGGTGTTCTGTCCCATTATGTCATCATCCGTTTTTCTGAAACCTTCAAGTGAAATCTGAGCCTATTCTTTGGCGCCCAAAATAATGTCGATCGGACCAGGTTTCTGAAATGTAGGATCCGCTATAAGGCCGTGGTTCCACTGAGATATATTGATATTTAATGGCTTTACAGGTAATATATCCGTTTAGGCAGCACAGGAAACAGGGTGTCCAACGAGAAGTTGCTTGGAAATCTTGGGTGGATTGTTATTTCTATCTGCCATTTTGCTGTCTGGGGGTCTCTTGCCCCAATAAGACCTGATATCTCGACTCTGATCTTTTTTCTGGGTTGTGCAAGGAGGCATGCAGCTTCCTCTGTGATAAAAGATGACTGCGGGACCAGGAACCTAGGACTCGCAAATACTCATAGTCTCCTTGCTTATAGCATCATTTCATCTTTTCTGTTGATGCAGAATGATTATCTCCTGGTGAATTTTTTAGTAGTTTTTTATTTTGAGGGAAGTCTACGTGAACATGGGTATTGTGAGCTTTATTGCAGATTCGGCATCGACCGTCGGAGGTGCACGTTATATCGTCATCATGATTGAGACAATCAAAACACAGTTTCTTCTCTTTTACTCTGCTAAAGCGTGCAGAGGGCGATAAGGCTTGAAACTTGGTGCAATTATATACTGTATGCGATAACTGGGAACAATATTTACATTGTGTCATTCATTTCAGAGCTTCTAAACATTTGATGATGGTGTCATGCAGCTGTTATTTTTTATGTTTATATGAGGATATTGCACACCTTGAGTAGGATTATCATCCTGGCCTCGGATTTTGGATTCCAATGTTTCCAGAACACCTGCATATTGCTCGAGGTGAAGGGGGAGGAAAAAACAATATGGAAATACACAGTTGCGATGGAATACAGCGTGATAGAAATATTAGTTGAAAAATTTGCCGTCTGTAAACTCTCGCCAGTCGGCGGATTATATATTTGGAGATGGTTTCTCAAATGCTTCGAAATTTTGTTGTATAATAGTCTATAACGACATCATTGATGATTTTGCCTAGAATCTGGCTGAGTTAATTGATTTGAGCTTCTTCCTCCTTCAATCAGTTTGGCGGAGCTTGCAGCGCTTATGGGTTTGAGGATGATGCTAGTGTTGCTCCTTCTTACCAATAATGTACCTACATACACCATACACTATGGCATCATATTAGATTTTGTTGAGCTGGACTATGTACTTATCAATGGAAGATATTTTCTGGGGTTAAAACTTTTTAGCTACGCCGAGCTTTCGAAAAAATTTATTTTCTTCTTCAGGGCTATATAAAAAGAATAATATTTATACAAATAAATATTAAAAGAAAGGTTTACTTACTGCTATGTCTTTTAAATTGAAAAAATATCATTTACAAGAAAATTTGGCATACTTTTTAGATAAATTGTTACAAACTGACTTTTTTAGTATTACTTTCAGGCATGAGTATGATTTGAAATTTAAAAATAACAATGGTTTAAGAAAATTTCAATATTGTTCCAAAGAAAAGTTAGTTTATGTTTTGATAAAATAAAAGTGATATATTTTGACTATAAGTGAAATTATTATTATTTAAATGTTTCATTGATAGAATATTTGAATAGATAATACTTAAATCATCTATGTCTGATCTTTTATTGATGAATTGTTAGTTAAAAAGATTTCAACCATCTCCAAAAACAATCTTTTATTATAATTTTGTTCCCTATGTAATATTTTGGTTTCATTATAATTGAAACTATGTTCTAATTCATTGAAATGTGTGGATAACATAGAAGTATTTTTTCCTAATCTACAATCACTTTTGTGATTGTAGATTAGACCCAGAGTGATACGCTGAGGAAAGTTTTCATCTCTGTCTCGAGATTAATCTCTCGACAGTAATGAAACACTTCCCTACTCGGTATGTAATATACTATTGTATTTGATTAATTTTAAAAATACATATACCTACAGTGTAGGTCTGTTCTCACGGAAATCACAAACCTATGAGCGAATTTCTGCAGAAAACTGGTTGTTGGCAATTTGCACCAATCAAAAACTCTGACTGGTTTATTCATTGTTTATCATATTTCTTTTTGATCCTTTTGACAACACAATTTGAAGGCCCCCCACGCGCTAGAATTGAACTTTGCTTACGTATATAATAGCTCTTGGACCGGCCCTGTATAATTGTATTGTGTTATCTTTGTTTGTGCTTAGACCGGTGTTTAGTGCCAAAGGGCGTGAAAGTGTGTGTTTGTTATGAATTGGTGTGAAAATGTTGAGGTCGAAAGTGTATTGAAAGAAATTAGAAAATAAATGGATAACTGGAAAGAACCAATCCCACCCAAGGTATACTTGGGCACCGCACAGGCTTGAGAGAATCCCAATCAGTTGGTTTTAGCAAAGTTTAGTTTTAGTAGGTAAGGCTATCACCAGACTAGGCACATACGATAGGGTGTGTATGTGTAGGTGTGGGATGATGTGTGTGAATATGTCTTCACGGCTCGAAGGACCAAATGTACAATAATTCTCTTGATGTGAGAATTTTTGTAGCTAGAAAAGGCTGCAGAGAATGACTGATTACACTCTGAGCACCTAATTCTTCATTGTTGTCGAATGCTTGATAGGGTGCGTAGTAACACTGTAGTAAGCAGTTGACTGTGGGCGTAACATTATATGAATTATTTTACAAATTGAAGCATATGCCTGTTTTACATTATACATGGCTCCATAAAGAACATATTGTTCTCTACACTTGACTTGGGAGTTATTTTGGACAGCCAAATGTCTTTGGTTCCTCACTTAAATACGCTATCATTCAGGGCATTTACTAGGCTGAGGATTGTTTTGCGTAACTGTTCTGATTTTTCTGTTTCAACTGTACGTCATTTATGTGTTTCTTTGGTGAAAAGTATACTTAATTATGCCTCTCCAGTCTGGACCCCTATTTATAAAATACATCTGTTCAAAATAAATTTTTACGTTATTGTGGTGGATTCAGACTCCGATTTCCTCGTGATCAATGGACTTACTTTGCGAAACATCCTATCTATTAATAGTCTCAAATCTGATCGAATTTCTTGTTAGCTTTGTACCATTCTCAAGTTAGTGTCTGGTGATATAGACTGTCCAGATCTACTCAAACAAATATGCTTCAGGGTTCCTCCACGGAACACTAGTACTGATTTGCTTCACATTCCATATCATTCTAGCAATTATACATATAACAGTCCTTTATCCAGATTCTCTAGACTAGTCTTGTAATTCTCCAAAGGGGTGATGTTTTGGTGCCTTTTTGTAAACGAACCTACATTGTACCTGCCTCTGAGTGTTAACATGTATAAATCACACAACTGATACTATATTTTAATTTATTGCATGCAATGAGCCTATAACTAGTGAGTTTTGCAAAAATTTTCTTGATCTTGTTAGTTTTAATTTTTTAAATTCTGTCAGTGAATATAATTATAGTAGTAATATTTTGTAATAGAGGGGTGAACCCGTATATTGAATAAATAAATAAATAAATAAACTTGACTATTATATGTGAATTAGACTTGCAATAAGTCAAAAAGAGTAAGAATGAAAACATTGGTGTCTTTTTTTTCTAGTTCTTGAAGAACTAATGATGCAACTTGGCTCTCTAGACGACCACTCGGACCTAGAACAAGATTCATCCATAGATCGAATTGACAGTGATATTGAACTACCGGTGCTCACAAGGTGTCAAGCTCTCGGAGGTCAGTGTGACGAGGACGGCAAATTTTTGCCTACTCAGTGCGAGGATGAAACTTGCTGGTGTGTAGACGAGGCCGGAAATCAACCGGCAGGATCTAACACGTTTGTTAGAGGACAAAAGATTTGTAGTAAGTATATAGGATTTTTTCAGGTGAATTAAGCCAAACACACAAAATATACTTTGCACGCTGTGTTAAACAATTTGATTTTCATCAGGTGCAGTGCCATTAGAAAGCGCCGACGTAACTCTAGGATTCCGTGGTGAATTTGACGACATCAACGCTATGCCTGTAGTCAATCAGATAACGAAAATTGTTCAAAGCCTGAATGGCAACATCAACGAAAACGGCCTTAGCATAGAAACTACTTCAGATATGCTCTACATTAAATTTTCTCTGATTGGCAGTAACAAAGTTGATGTTGCTTATAGATTGGAACAAATGGTAAGTCCTCACTCGAGGCAGCACGAAATATTAAACTTCTAAACTCATACTTTAGTAGGTCTCTTGGACTTGTACGTAAATTACTACATATTTATTATTCCTTCTTCATATCGTTGTCCTAAATTTCTTTATGCTAATTAATATGATTTTTGTTTTTTACATTTTCGGTTAAAATCATTTTAGTTAAAATTCTATAGATAATAGTGAAATTCAAATTAATCAATTTAATAAAAGATGAAAATCCACCCTATACAACTAGCTATTAAAACCGTCTTTACTTTATTTTAGGTTATGCAACAGAGATTACCAGGTCTAACAGCAGATATCACGAGATCCCGGGTCATTCACAAACCTCTGACACAGGAAGCATCTTTGGAAGACAGAACAGCAGCTCTGCAACACAGAGAAATTGTATCGCAAGCTCCTGTATCTGTAGTAGCTCCTTATCACACTGCTCTTATTGTGATAGCTGCTGCGTCAGCTTTTATTATATCTGTATTAACAGTATTAGTAATTTTGTATAAGAGAAAAGTAAGTGATATACAAAATTCTAGTTCTGGTAAATAAGATAAATAATTTTTATATTTCCAGATGCACAGTATAAACCAACAAAAAATCATAGAAGACAACCGATTTGTGTCAAATACCAGACCAATTTACATTGAGTTACCTAATGAGAAATATCATGCAATACCAACGGATGTGGTTAAAAAAGCGTGACTGGATTTAGTAGCTTAGGAGTGCAAATTATTTATAAAAATGCTCGATTAAATAACATTTATATTTTTTATAATAACAGATACAGTATAAGATTAGACAAGATTCGTATTTTCTACAAAATTATGCCATTTTTTGGATAAATCATATTATGTTTAACTACCTACGTGATCATATTTTAAAGACTTAGCTGTAACATAAAAATTTGGCTTGATATTATTGTCTTTCTGTTGAAAGAAATATAATATTTTTTGATTTTTCAACAAATCGACGAAATTTAAAATTTCATGGGCCAGAATAATTTATTTATAATGTAAGAAACGTGTAAATATTTATTAGGTTTTAAGATTTTATGTTAACCAAGTTGCAGATTTATTTATTTTTTGTAAAAATAACATCAAATCTAAAGTTTTTTTTATAACAAAATTGCAACAAATTCAATAAACGATATTATAAAAATAAATACATATTTGAATAAGTAGGTGTTTTTTTTCTACCCTTTATACTAGTGGAGTCTATTTCAGATGCCTTATTTTGGATAAATAAAAGCTAAATTCTTTTGGCATCATTTTCGAGTAAATAAAATCATAAAGTCAAAAATATAAAAAGATTTCTACTCCATAAAAAAAAAATTGGTATTCTATACTTAAATTTAAAAAACATAATACTGACTTAACATTTTAAAGCAAAAAGCTCACTAATAATCTACTATTGCATAATATAGACATTAAATACCTTAAATTTAATTCCTAAATTATATTAGGAAACAACCCTGCCTTCCATCAGTTCAATTCGATCAAAATCTAAAGAAAAAATTATTACAGTCGTCAATTAATGCAGAAAATAGTTTCAATACCTGATCCAGCCTTTTAGTCAAACTTCAATGAAGTACTAGCTGAACTCCTCTCCTTGCCTTTACCCATCTTTTTAAATTTATCCCTTTTTTTGGGGGTAATATTTCCAGATCCAGACAAACTATCAGGTGAGGAGCTGTTGGACCTTGTGTGACGGAGATTTTTTGCCTCATCTGTTTCTCCAGTATCCGTGTTTATGGCCTCTGCTAGATCTGGTTCTGAACTCCTTTTTGGAGTACCTAAAATGTAATCCTTTGTGTCAAAATTTTATCTTCAGAAAAGAGGTTTTTCATATAAAATTGAAATGTTAAATGAATAGACTGTATTCTAGAGAAAATTCTAACCTTTTTTCTTAGGCGAGAAACTTTTATCCTTCTTTCTATTCATTCTAGGATTCCAGTCTTCATCGTTATCGTCATCTGAATTAGCACTATAGGATGAAGATGAGGATGCACCTTTTTCTTTATTAGTCGCTGCTCTTCTTGATGCATTCCTCGAAGATCTACTATTGTTGCTGAGACCTATAAAGAAGATTAATGATTAAAACATTCTAAAAAAATCAGAAAAAGGGACAGTTTGCTATATGATATTTCATGGTGTAATGCATTATTTAATTGACTAACTTCTCAGTAATAACTGGCAAAGACTTTGATTTGGGTTTTAATCAACGTTTTGTTGTATTTTTAATTTAATTTTCATTGATAAAAGAAAGAAGGCTTCTGTGAAGACCTGAGAATTGATTAGGCAAAATTTTTAAATTATTAGGATATAATTTCATTGGAAAAATTCAAGTACGTTTATTGATAGAAGATGTGTGTGGTGTTGTAAATATTAAGTAATTGTACAAGATTCGTTTAGAATACAGTTAATAGTTTTGTGCTAATAATATCTACTTGCTCATTAGCATGGCCCCTCCTCTCGGGGCAAATAATAAAAAGGTTGGTCGGAACTGGGAATAGTATACTTTTTAAGGAAAAAACTTTGATTCAATGCATATCCTTCGTAGATAGTAGACGGAGGAAACAACAGAGAAAAAAAGTGACAGGCTAAAGTTGAGGTTGGATTTGCTGCAGGGCACGGTGCTGTCGTCTTTGCTTTCCAACATTTATTTATACTAATTTATAGAGTAAAAATGGTGCAGAAAAGTAAAATCGTACGGAAAAGTGAAATTGTGCAGAAAAGTACAACTTTCAAAACAAAAAATCGTGCGAAAAAGTAACTTTTCCGCAAGTTCGTGGGAAAACTCTTTTATTTCTTGAAATTCAACTACAAATTATTATAATAAAAAATCTATCTTCTATCTTATCTATTTATTTTCTACCAAACTTTGAAGCAGTTTTGCAATTGTGCTTTCCCTCCTACTTTCAAAATTACAGAAAAATATAGAGACAAGTTATAAGGGCTGCTAAATAGATTTATTTCGAACAAAGACTAGATGACTAGATGGTGTAGCCAATACCTGTTTCAATCAGTGTTTAAACTCCAGAAGCGAGCAGTGCGCTTTATCGCTGATGCCTCCTCAGTGGAACACTGCAAACCCTTATTTCAAAAATTTAACATCTTAACATTGCCATTTCTTTTTATATACTTGAATCGGCAAGTCTCTTACATAAACACATATCTTCGTTCCCTGTACACCAAACTGCCTTTTCCACCACACGACAGACGCACAATATACCGCTCCCGATTCCGCACTCTACTCTTGTGAAGAACTCAATAATTTACAACAGCGTGAAATTCTATAATCACCTTCCTGCAACTATCAGAAACATCTCAGATATTTTACAGTTTCGAAGCCATTTGAGGAGCACTCTACTTCAACATGCCTTTTATACAGTTGATGAGTTTCTAAATGTCTCTATATAGGACTAAAGCCTTTCTGCTTCTGTTGCATGCATGTTATATTTTGACTTAACTGTCGTTGTATTTATCCTAGTCTTAAATTTGCCTGTCATTTGTTTGTTGCTTATCTTTTTTTGTACCATTTACTAACTTATTTATTTATTGTGCACAATGTTAATGTTATTTACTGACTGGATTTGTATCTTAATCTTAATATTAGTATGTAAAAATGCTCTGTCAAAAGGATTTTTTGTTCTTTGACAATAAAGCTTGTTTTGAATTGAATTGAACTCACAAAACCGAAACAGGAAATCTGGGCAATTATACCTAAACGAACTAAGGGAAAACGAAGTAGGCTGATTACTCGTCAAGTTCAACCAAGGGGTAACCCCCCTCCCCACCAGGCCCCCCAACACCCCCAAATTCCTTCTAACGGGAATAGTTCACGCAAAGTTTACTCAAATTTCCCGCAAATTCCTCCAAATACCTCACAAATTCCTCCAAAGTCGCGCAAATATCTGAAAACTCCTTGCAAATTCCCCAGAAATGCCTTTTACAAAGTCCCTGTAAATCCTACTTGCTCGTGATAAGAAATGTATTTTTCTATTTTTATTACGCTCAGTGTTGAAACACAACACAAGAGCGGTTTATCAAGTAGGATCGAGAGTAGGATCAATAGCAAGGTCACGTTAGTTAATTTTTGAGCTAGAGCCAATGATTGGTTTTCGACAATCCAGAAGGCAGGAGGTTGAATTAACCTAAACCTGCATTTAATAATATCACCTAATTGATAAAAAAAGACCTTCCTTTATGAAATTTTAACAAGAATTTCCTCATTGGTACTTTACTGATCTGGTACGTAATATACGGGTAAAAAATCGACTTCATAAATTCACTTCAAAAAAAAGTTGCAAGTAAAATCCACGGAATATAAGGAAAATAGTAAAAGCTCAAACAAAATATATGAGCAACACAAAAGGCATGTTGAAAACAGCATCAATCTGGAACCGAAGGCTCTGCTGGCCGTACGACAATGAACCACATGCTTGGCGCTCGGCAGCAGCACCGAACAATACAATAGTTCGGTTAGTCTTCAAAATTGGGTTTGTGCGGATTTGACGTCACCGTACTCTTTACTCTAGACGCGGACTCTACATGATGCCCCTCCTCCAGGGCCTCCAACAAAAAGTCGGTAAATATGAGCAGGTTATGATCAGTCAAGCGTTGCGCAAGAAACCCAAATTGTTTGTCACTAAAACTGCTTCCCAAATTCTTAGCTAGAAAATCACAAACAAGGCCTTCAAAGACTTTAGGTATTCAGCTTAGTATACTAATGGGCCTATAGTGATCAACTTGCGCTGTACCTCCTGATTTTAGAATAGGCGTAATAAAGCTAGTTTTCCAAAAAGTTGGAAAGTTGTCCAAAGATAGAATAAATATGACGTGAAGTGGACGTGCCAGTATAAAGCTACATTGTTTTAGAAGACTTGGAGGAATCCCATCTGGGCCTGCAATCTTGCTGATATCTAAGGATGACAGTTTTACCTAAATTTCAGAAAAAGAAAAGTTGCAGTTAGACAAATTAATATGACTGAAAGATGGGACCTTGGATGGGACATTGTGAGTAACATCACGGACCTTATCAGGGTACATTTGCGAAAAATACTTAGCAAACAAATTTAGAATTTTGCCACCAGTTGAAGACCTGATATTATTGTAGTACACTTCAGAAGGAATATCACAATTTTTCTTTTTACTGTTAACAAACTTCCAAAACTTTTTAGCATTAATTCTCAAGTAAGATTCAGTTTGAGCTATATGGCATTGATAATACTGATTCTCTTAATGCAGAAAATAACTTATGGTCCTTATAAAAATGTTGCATGAAATACATTTTGTTTCTTTTCTTATCTGGACACATGCACATAGCTCCTTCTCCTTGGTGTTACTAATCTCAGCGTATTATCTGAATATGTGTAGAATCAATCGAAGGAGAAAACCAACTTGATGTCACTCATACAGACCGCAAGAAGGCATTTGACAAAGTAAGTCATGAAATTTAGTTGAATAGGCTTATAACTTATGAAGTAACAGGTCGACTGTACATGTTCTTGAGGTCTTATTTGTCAGATAGGAATCAAAAGGTAAAGATAGGTAGAGGTTATTCTAGAAGCTATTTAGCTGCATCGGTTGTTCCTCGGGGCAGTAATCTGGGTCCACTCTTATTTGTATTGTTTATCAATCCACAGGGTTGGCAAAAACCCAGGTTTTTGAAAATTTGTATTGGGTTTTTTTGAGAGTTTTTCTTTTTTTGTAAGGTTTTTGTGTTTTTGCCTTTCACATAACCTCAAACTCAGAATTTGTCGCTGATCTGCCAGTTGTCCAGCAAGCTCGGCATCCTTGGAGAGGTATGTAGTACTTTCAGTTACGTGTGGCCTGACTTGAGGAACAGCTTAGCTCCCGAAAAAGTGGAAAAACTTGTTGGGATTATGAAACTTTCTGAACATAAAAATGCCAGACTAATGTTCTCTTTTTTTAGTTACGTAATTACTACACCTTTTCCTCATGTAATTGCGAATATAGCAATTTATATTGCGAATTCATCAATTGAGTTTGCGAATAGTCAAGTGATATTTCGAGTATATCGAATAGTTATTGGGAAAAGTTAAGTGTAATTGCGAAAATATCAAATGTAATTGAGAAAAGTTAAGTGTAATTGGGAATATATTAGATAGAATTGGGGATAATCAAATGAAATTTGGAATATATCAAATGTAATTGTGAATTAATCAAATATAATTAAGACATAATCAAATATTTTCTCTGTCGACTCTTTCTTGTCATCGTTGATCGGTTGATCTGCATATTATAACACAATTATTGCGAAATTCCATTTTTGTGTTGCCTTTCTTTGACACAAAACTACCTATATGTATGTAAACAAAAGCTTTCTTCAACAACAGACTTAGTTTTTTTAGCAACAACATACAGATGTTGATTGAAAAATTAAAAGGCTCAATTCCATCTGATTTATTACTAATTTTATTTGATTTTCCCCAATTACATATGATATATTCCCAATTACACTTAACTATTCTCAATTACATTTGATGTGTCCGCAATTATATTTAACTTTTCTCAATTGCATTTAATATATTCGCAATATCAAGTGACTATTCTCAATTAGATTTGATTTATTCGCAATATTATTTTACTATTCCTAAAATTAAGTGATATATTCGCAAATACAGATGGAAAAGGTGTAGTAGTTATCTCCAAAAAAGTTCCTTTTGCTTTTTACTTTTGTGTCGAACAATTGTTTGATTACTATTATCCTACTATTTTCCTTATAAAGATTTTTATATGGGTAATCCTAGATTTTTTTAAGTTCGTTTTTACGAGGTTTTTTATTTAAAAAAAAAATCCAAATTAGGGAAGTAAATTATTTCCTAGATTATTTCTGTATAAATGGGTTTTTGACACAAAAGCCCACTGGGTCTTTGTTGAGGTCTTTGTCAATATTAATGATGGGTTTTAGTGTAAAAAACCGAGTAAAAAACCCACTGTGTTTTTGGAATGGGTTTTTGTGTATGTTAACCCTGTCAATCCATTGCCTGTGTATATCTGGGTCGTCATCCTTGTTGTTTGCGGATGATTTCAAAATGTTTAGAGAGGTCGCAGCAGTGGATGACTGTATCCGGTTGCTGTCTGACTTGAACAATGTTGCATCATGGTTTCAGGAGAATAAAATGTATTTGAATATCAAAAAATGCTCAGTTATGATGCATACTCGTAAAAATGCATATGCCCAGTTTGACTATTGTATTGGTGGGGAGAAGCTCGTCAGATTTAGTCAAGTGAAGGACCTGAGTGTCCATTTTCAGTCCAGTATGAAATTCACAGATCATTATGTTGAGTCTAATAACAAAGCTTTTAAGGCACTAGTTTTTATTATACGAAACAGTAAATCTTTTAAAATAAATACCATCTAAGATTATATAATTCTCTTCTGAGGCCATATTTGGAATATGCATTTCCCGGGGCATTTCCAATCTGGATGCCAAGTGCAATCATGCATATAGATTATATTGAGAAAGTTGAAAAACAATTTTTGAGATACATGTATGTTAGAAAAAATAATGCGTATCCATATATGGTTTCCTATAAATCAATGTTAGATAGCTTCGAGTTTAAATCATTGGTGCAGTGAAGGGGAGGCAGGCAGTGCTATTTGTATATTGCGTTGTAAATAGCTTAAAGTATAGAAATTGTCAACTTATTAACTATATAAAATTTAGGATGTCTATGATTGACTTAAGACTGATAAATCCAAATGTACCTATTTTGTGCAAGGCAGAGTGTTTTGTCCTCTTTTAAAAACACTAGAAACTGCAGCAATATTTATCTAAACCTCAGAGTAACACTACATAAATAGAGAGGGCAAGTCATTCATAAAATCGTTTGGTTTCTGCGGCCAACAATCCTAAACGACAATAGTGGATTAATGAATGAACTACATGGAGTGGGGATAAGATTGCGGACAATGCGGGCCAATTATGAACAAAACCCGTTTGACATTTCTTACTATGAATACTAGAGCACATTGGCGATTATGGTCGGACTTGCTCTGGCAATATTTGCATCCTTCCTTATCTGGTTATCTT